TGTTTTTTATGATATGTGTAAAATAAAATGTTAAACGTGTTAAAATTATTACAATTCTTGATTTATGCACTAGCCAATTACATATATGAACTTACCAAAATATAATTTGATAATGTATCTATTTTGTCAAATTTGTTTCTATTAGATGAATTGTGTTTATTATTAAATTAATGAAATTAAATTTTGTGCATCCCAACAACAATTCAAGTGGATTCCTAAATTTTATCAAATTTGATTTCTGCATTTAGATATAGCGGCATTATCACACAAACACACATACACACACATATATATATATATATAAATTGACACTGACGAAAAAGGAATCTGTTTGGAGTTTTGCTAGCAAAAGTCCCCCGTTTGCCCTTCAACTTTTCAAGTTTGAGGCATTTTACTCCATCGCCATTGCCTTTGGCTGCCTCGTCCTCCTCTCTACCATCTTCCTTGCCTCCTACATCTGTTGCCAGTCCTCCCCCCTCGCTCCCTTTCGCACAACACCACTGCCACTTCCACCTCCGATGGGATCGTTCTCCTGAAGATTATTTTTGTTGCCGAAGATGATGACCAGGAACCCACGCATTGGGTTCCTTCACACCCAGGACGCCTGGGTTCCAAAGAAGCCACACACTGGGTTCTTTCACACCGAGCATGCCTAGGTTCGATGGAAGAAGGCTCTTTTTGATAATTATTTGTTTGAAATACAATTACAGATTCCCTTTCAAACATTGAAATAGCTTGTGAACAACCATGTTTCGTGCTAATAAAAACAATTCTACACATAGAAATACAACTAGCAGATCAAACTATAAAAACAGAGACTGTAAGAAAAGAGGAAAGGCATCATTATTAAATTTGAAAGAACAAGAGAAATACTCCTACCTAATTACTTTTTTCTCCATATATCATGCATTTACATATTCCTTATCCTTAAAACTTGGAAAATGCTCTGAAACAATATTTTGAATTGTCAATACTTTGAAACAATATTTTGAATTGTCAATACTTTGAAACAATATTTTGAATTGTCAATACTTTCTAGTTGCCAAAGACCATGATTTAAGCTAAATTCAATTATGTATTTCACGCATTAATGGTAACCAACATAAACCCGACAACAATCATCTTGAATGGACACACAACAGATAGCAGTGGAAATACATTTTTGTTGTTGGGAATTTTAAACACCACAATCCCATGCAAATGGAAGCAATAAAGCAATTGAGACAACAATTTAATATGGTTCAACTTGTACACCTCTCAACAAGTCTGCATCCACAAGAAAGAAAGAAATAAATCCACTATTAAAAAAAGAGTACCATAATTTAGAAGCCCTCTCACTCAAGAAGCTCTCAACACCTTAGCTTCAATGTATAGAAGCTCCCAAATTTTCCATAATACTCTTTCTTAATCTACACAAGGATTTTCTCACAATTTCTCTCTTTCTTTTCTCACAAGAGCACCCACTCACTTAGCTCTTCTCTTGCTTGCTCTCACTCTTGCCTGCCCATTGCCTTTGCATGCATGGGTATTTATAGTGAAAAATCCAACCACCCATGCACCATTTTTCTTTGCCCATTAAATGGGTCAACATGCAATCTTGCATGATTTCAACAAAGTAATTGCTACCCCATAACTAGCTAGGTTGGTGAAGAAATTTCACCACATGGAAAGTCCATGTGTTCACATAGGTTTGGATTTTCTACCAACAATCTCCCCCTCTAACCCCATGGGAGGAGAAACCAACCATGACTCCACATACTTCAACATTACCATCATTCAGCTCCTACTGCTCAAGAATACTTCATCATGGTGTCTTATTTTTGAGAGCTTCCTCCTAGTATAAGATAGGACAAACCTACACTAGGTGCATTGGGAAAATTAATTTTGAACCAAAATGTGATCCGAGGGAAAATCACACCTCCTCGAACCATCATCAAACACCACTTCATTGTTGAAGCTCACCTTCTTGTTGGTCTTATTAATTTCCTTGCCATCTACCAAAATCCCTTTAGGCTTCCACACCATCTTCCTCATGGTCTTGTTAAACCTCCTTTCGGGATGTTGCTCAAGCACACAGATGTTGTGCTTGTTCTTCCTTCCGCACAAAACAAGTCTTCCACCTTTGTAGACCTTACACCATTCTTGCTTTCCAACATACTTGTACCCTCGTGTTGTCAACTCACTAAAAGTAATAATATTGCTTGAACACTTGGGAACATATCTTAAATTCTTGAGAATCCTGGCTCTCACATTGTTAGAATGAGATGAATTGTGGGCTAAGCATAATATTTTTATTTAAGTTTGAGATGAAATTGTGGCCACGTGGAGGTGGTAATTTAAATTTGTTTTCCTCAAATATTATTGAAATAGTTATTTTTTTGAATGGTTTCTTTTGTTTGTCCTGGCTGTATGATTCGCCATTGTGGGGGTTGAGTTGTTGGTATTGTGATAGACCCGAGATCTATAGATTGTGGATTGTGGATTGTGGATTGTAGATTGTGGATTGTGGATCGTGTATTGTGATTGATGAATGAGTATCATTGATCATGGATTGTGGACTGTTACACAGCCATAAGGGACGAAAAACGAAATATTCTGGTTTCGAGGAAAGAATTGTTTTTTTTTTTTTATTGTTTCATTTTCAATAAGAAATCAGTTTTAAATTTTTATGCTTGGTTGTGATGGATGGGTATACTACTTACAGAGTTCTTAAACTCACATTTTCAGATTTCATATCATTTCAGGTGAAGAAATATGAGTATTGGGATTTGCATGGGGATTGAGAGATCACTAGGATAAATTGGCAAAAATTTAGCAATAGCGCAATTAGAAGTTTATTTGGTTTTATGGAATAAGATGTTAAACACTTTATGTTTTGGTTAAGGGATTTGATATTGTTATTTGGAGACTGTTAAGATTTGTTAATAGAATTGTTTATTTTAAAATTGTTAGGGAGATTGTATTGGTAACCAAGGAAAATGGCCTTACACATTTATAAGGTTAACCTATAGATGTGTGGCGTTTCTTATGCATAAACCTTTGGGTTGGGGCGTGACATGTGGAAATGAAAACATGTTTGTAAAGGCTATGGTTTTGCTTCTAGGATTTTCCTTATGTCTTTCATACTAGATTGGGTTTTTATAATTAGAAATGTTGCTCAAATTACCAAAAACCTTCAATAACACCTTTCTCAGCCCTAATTCATTAATAATATTTTGATAATTTCAATTTTTACACATATCTCTTTTTTTAAGATATACGAAACATGCATAGTTGAGGTATTAATTATAAATCCTTTTTTAATTATCAATGAATTTATAAGGATGTTAAGTGAGTTAAAAGATGACAAGATTAAAAATTTTTGAATTTTCTCACTTTTGTTGCTCCTTCTTAAACCCAACTTCATACTCGTAAGGAAACACAGGCAACTGCCAAGTGGTATTTTCGTTAAAATTATACCTCTTGTTATAGTTGTTTGCAGTTTCTTTTGTATTTCTCTTTTAATTTGGGTATATTTTATTATTTTTAGCATATTCATGAAACATTTCATCTTTAATGATAGATACCAGATGCTAGAAGTCCTCCTAATACCTCTTCTAAGCATCATCACTCTTCATAAGCAAGTCAGCCAACACTCCAAAAAATAATGAGTTATTTGCAATTCTTCATCTGGATGGTTTTTGTTAGCTTCATATATTTTGTTGGTAGACTTGTTCCTGCACTTCAACTTGTAAATACAATAGGAAAGTTTGTTAAATATGAAGTCTTGTAATGCTAGATGTACCTAGCTTTTTGAACTTGTGAAGCATTATACTTTTGGAATCAATATTATAGTATATTGTGCTCTAGTAAGTTCATTATCTTTCTGAATATATGGCTTAAGTTTATGTTCTAAATATATGGTTTAAGTTAAAACTATCCAGTTGTTGATATAAATGTGTGCCTATTTATCCTTTTAACTCTGCTTTTTTTTTTTAATAGATTAATATGAATAGTATGATGATTGGAACTTTATTAAAATTATAAATATTGTTGTTTTATTAAAATTGTCAAATATATGTCTAAGTTGATTATTGGTTAGTAATGTAGGCATCACTCTTTTTTTTTTTTTTAATCAACGTGTAGGCATCACTCTTTCTTGTATCCTTTTACCATTTTTTCTTTCTGATCCACTTTGTTTCCTAGTAGGCTAACCCTGTCAACATTTTTTCTTCCAATTTACAAATAAACATTAAGATGTTAGTCTATTTTTCTTTTCTTTGTTGATTCCTCTCAATAAAATTTGCTCTCTTGTACTAAATTACTTATAGATGTATGCATGCAATCTGAGTACATTTTGGGATATAAATTAAAGAATGCTATATCATTGCATATCCCCAGAGCCATGTTCTATTTGATTAATGTTCACATTGATTTAAGTTTGGTTATATATATATATATATATATCTATATTGATAGGTGTAATGAAGGAAGAGGAAAACAAAGTGAGATTCTTCCTTTAAAGGCTAGAACTACAATACCTAACTCTTTTGTGAAAATGTTGCAATTCTTGTTTATGACTTCTTCTTCTCCAATTCATTTGAGGGGTTTACTCTTTTTTTTTTTCACATTTTTGATAGACATGTGTAAATGAAGTGTTAATTTTTTTAGAATTGTTGTAATTCTTGGTGTAATCATGGCCAATTAGATTTATGAACTTATCGAATCACATTTTGTTTGTTTTGTCAAATTTGTTCTATTGGATGGATTGTGCTTGTTATTTAGTTAATGAAAGTGGGTTTTGTGCATTTCAACAACAATTTAAGTGGATTTATGAATTTTATCAAATTTGGTTTGTGCATTTGGTCAGTAAAGGGATCTAAATATAGCTGCATTATCATTGAAAAAAAAAAAACCTATATTGACAGAAGGGCATCAGTATAACTCCTATCAAATATATTGCAAAAACAATCATCAGTATATCCTATGAAATATATCGATAGATAATGTGTAACTAAACACCACAATATATACTAACAAATAATACAGTACTGATGTGTTGTCATCAGTATATTACATCCGTCAGTATAGTAAACTGTCTAAGACATTGGTCGTAAATAGCTATCAGTGTAGTTCTCTATTACTATAATGATGACTCTTTTTTGTCAGTATAAATGTGTACCCATGAAATCTATACCGATGAACTTATTAGCCATTAGTGTAATCTGTAGGGACCATAATGAAGGTAAACTAATTGGTCTGAGATGGTGGTAGATGGTTTTGCAGGTTATAGATGTTTGCAGAAACTGAAAATGTTGAAGAAATTTTTGAAAGGGTGGAATAAGGACGTGTTTGGGGATATAGAAGCTAAATTTCAAGCTGCTGCTGATAAGGTTGCTCGGATTGATATGAAGAATGAAGAGGCTGTTTTAGAAGTGGAAGAGTTGGCTGAAAGACAGGAAGGATTTCATGATATGTGGGATATTATGAAGAAAAGGGAAAGTATATGGAAGCAGAAATCAAGATGTAGCTGGGCTAAATTGGGGGATGCTAATACGAGGTTCTTCCACAAAGTTGCAAATGGTAGAAAGGTTTTTAATAACATTAATGGCTTCTCGTGTGAAGGCAAGTGGGTGGAGGAGCCAAAGGAGGTGAAGAAAGAGGTTGTCAGGTACTTTAGTACCATGTTTGAAGGAGAATCATGGCAACGTCCCAAGCCTGTTGGCATCAATTTTAGACAAATCTCGGAAGAGATGAAAGACGAGTTAGAAAGGCCATTTTCTGAAGAGGAGATTGAGGAAGGTTTGAAGAGCTGTGAGGGAACTAAAGCACCAGGGCCGGATGGATTCAATTTTAGCTTTCTCAAATTTGCGTGGAACTGCTTGAAGGAAGATTTTATGAGTTTTTTTGCGGAATTTCACCAAAATGGCAGGTTAGTAAGAGGATTAAATTCTTCTTTTATAACCTTAATTCCTAAGAAGTTGAATCCTTTAGAATTAAAGGATTTTAGACCTATTAGTTTGATTGGATGTCTGTATAAGTTATTGGCAAAGGTGCTGGCTAATAGGCTAAAGGGTGTAATGTCGGGAATAATTAGTGACACTCAGTCTACTTTTCTGGGGGGTCGTCAGTTGGTTGATAGTGTTCTAGTTCTAAATGAGGTGATTGATGAGGTTAAGTTGAAGAAACAAAAGGCCTTCGTTTTTAAAGCTGATTTTGAAAAGGCCTACGATTGTGTAGATTGGGCATACTTGGATTGGATGTTCTGCAAGATGGGCTTTGGAATGAAATGGCGTGGATGGATTAGAGAATGTCTTTCAACAGCAAGGATTTCGGTATTAGTGAATGGAAGTCCCACGAAGGAGTTTGTAATGGGAAAAGGCTTAAGACAAGGTGACCCGTTATCACCATTTCTGTTTCTAATAGTTGCTGAGGGGTTGAATGGATTAGTTAAGAGAGCAGAAAATGAAGGAATGTTACGTGGCATAGCAGTGGGTAATAAGGGGTTAACTGTGTCTTTGCTTCAATTTGCGGATGATACGGTGTTTTTGGGTAATGCGGACAGTGAGAATATATTTGCGGTTAAGACCATTTTAAGATGTTTCGAGTTGATGTCTGGATTACGGATTAATTTTTGCAAGAGTAGTGTGGTCGGGTTTAACGTGTCAGAAAGGTGGATTAGAGGGGTAGCAAGCGTTTTACATTGTGGTGTTGGGGAAACTTCCTTCATGTACTTGGGGTTGCCGGTTGGTAGAAAGATAAGGTGTACGAAGATGTGGGAACCTGTTCTGAAAAAATTTCGAGCCAAGCTTGCCATCTGGAAGTCTAATTCGCTGTCCTCTGGTGGCCGCATCACTCTACTCAACTCGGTACTCTCTGCTATCCCTATCTTTTATATGTCGTTATTTTTAATGCCGAATTGTGTGGCTTCGGAGTTGATTAGTATTCAACGGGCTTTCTTGTGGGGTGGGGTGGAGTTAAAGAAGCGAATTCCATGGGTTAAATGGGAGCACATTTGTTTTAGTAAGAGGCAGGGAGGTCTAGGTGTGATAGATTTGTGTAGGAAAAACTGGGCTTTATTAGGGAAATGGTGGTTCAGATTAGGGGATGGAGTAGAAGGTTTGTGGAAGAAGGTGGTGAGGGAGAAATATTATGGGGGCAGGGAAGAAGTAGACATTAAGGCATTGGAGAGTGTGAGGGTGTCTGGGATTTGGAGAGATATTCTCAGTGTAGGACAACGATCTGTAAGATTACACGACTTGTTGGTCAAGGGGTTCAAATGGGTGGTAGGGGATGGGTATCGAGTGGGGTTCTGGAGGTCGGTTTGGGTGGGGGAGAAATCTTTAAGGGAATTGTGTCCTCGAATGTTTGAGTTGGCTGTCAATAAGGAGGGATTAGTTAGTGAGATGGGAGTGTGGGAGGAGGGTAGTTGGAGATGGAATATAATTTGGAGGAGAGGGAGGTTTGGAAGAGAAAAGGATGAGGAATTGATGTTGTGGGAGGTGTTGAGTAGAGTTTGCATCAAGGTAGCGGTTGAAGATCGTTGGCAGTGGAGGCATGCTTCAGATGGGAAGTATGTGGTGAAACAAGCTTATGAGTTTTTAGAATCGACGGATGCTATTCTTAATGACTGGTTGTGTAAGTTAATTTGTTGTCGATTAGTACCGTCTAAAGTAAATTTTTTTGGGTGGAGATTATGCCTTCAGAGACTTCCAACAAAATGGAATTTGCAAAAGAGAGGTGTGGAGTTAGAGGGGGGCTTAATGTGTGGGCTGTGTAAGGAGGAGGTGGAAGATACTAATCATGTGTTTTGTACATGTAAAGAAGTATGGTTAATTTGGGTTAAGGTGTTGTCTTGGTGGGGTATTGAGGTGGTGTTGCCGTCTATTGTGGAGGGGGTAGCAGAATTTTTCCTATATGGGTTGGGTAAGGTGGTAGGGAAGGAATTGGGAGCAAGTATTTTTCTTGTTACATCATGGTATATATGGTATTGGAGGAATTGTACAGTGTTCAAGGGAGATGTGGTTCTTAAGGAGGGGTTGTTGGATATGATACAGGAAAAGACGTTTTTATGGGTGAAGAATAAAGTGCAGGGATGTGTATTTTCTGTTTGGGATTGGAAGTTAAATCCAAATGAGTGCGCTGTAGCTATGAGAAATCATAAGAGGATGCAGAAGGAGTTCCATTAGCATCAAAAAGGACGGGTATAAATGTAGAAGTAGCAAGATGTTCTCTTTACTAGTATTTTGTTTCCATTTTGGTTATAATTTATTTTTGTAATTGGGTTAGAGTACCCCTTGTACTCTTGCATAATAAAGTTGAATTTTGCTGATCAAAATAATAATAATAATAATAATGAAGGTAAACTAATATTGATTTATTTATATTTACCATGAACAAAATAATAGCAGTTAATGTTTAATAAAAAATAACATAAATATAATAACCTTAATAACAACAAATATATAAAATTGTTTTGTCAACAAATATATAAAATTATTTTCTGCCCAATTGGCTCCAAAGATATACTTTAGGACGCTATTAATATATATATATATATATAGTAATTAAAGTTCACTAGTGGGGCTTGTTTTGGTGGGAGCTATAATAAGTTTGCATTCCTTCCATAATAAGACTTGCTAAGGCACTGAGGAAGACCACGAGGCTCCATGTACTCCTAAAATAGGTGTGAATGAATTCCATGAAGCGTGATTTGTTGCGGTCGCAGTATGCACGGATATCATGCCTCAAATCTGGGTCTACCTTAAAATTTGGCACCAGGATGCCGCCGATCTTGCTCAACAGCTGTGCTACAGCTTCATCGCTTCCTAATCCGTTGTGCAGCACGCCTGCATCTTTCAGTTCCTTCAAATCCTCCGCATTATCTATCAAGGATTCGAGGAGTAACAGGTGCGAGGTGATCTCCCAATTTTCTTTGAAACCCGGAGACAGTTCATACGCAATCAAATTCAGCAACAATGGCACGGTGGTACCGTGCAAAAAAATGGGAGCCAGCGTAAGGGTTGCCATGCAACAACGGTCTTTGAAATCATTGTTTGTGATGGCACTTCCCTTTTCCTTCGCTTTAAAATGAATGCCCTTGCCTTTCAGCTCCCTTACGTTGCGAATTATTAAGGGCGAGTGTTTGCTTTTATCACCAATCAGTGTCTCCCAAAAACCATCTTCGTTACTCCGTTCTCGTTTCTCACCCTTCTCTCCGATCAGTCTTCTTCGCAACAAGTCTAGAAGATGATGAGGATGATTGCTTTTATCACCAATCAGTGTCTCGCAAAAACCATCTTCGTTACTCCCTTCTCGTTTCTCACCTCCTTGCAACAAATCTTGAAAATGATGAGGATGAGGCTGAGGATCAGGAGGATGAGGCTGAGAATTATCAATCCGAATACGGTGTTCTTGCTGCACGGTCTTTTGTTGCCGCGCGGTCTGTTCTTGGCGCGCAGTCTGTCTCAAGAAACTCCTATGGTGTTCTTGCTGCGCAGTCAGTCTCCAGAAACTCCTATTTATGAAATCGGCGATGCACTTCTTCAGTAACTCCTCAGGATTATTCCGTGCTAATTGGTCATCAGGTAAGTTTTTAGCAAACGACTCTATCAATATCTCAAGAAGTCGGTAGGGCAGTTGGTTCTCAAGCAAGAAAAAATCCATCTTCTCAATGCTGACTAGGCCATTATTAACACTGAATCGCTCCCAGTCATAGTTCACATCACGGACTATGAAATGCAACAATGCACAGCCATCCACTATGAACATCCAGGCCAATTCCTTTTCACTCCAGTTCTCTACTACTTCTAAGTTATACCAGCTCTTCAAGCTATTCATCTCCTTCTTGACATCGTCGTAGAACTCCTCCGTCTTGCGCGTACTATCCTTGATGAACATTGCCGCCAGTTTTAGCTTGCACTGCTCACCTCTTTCCATTCTGGGATCTCTGTCAATCTCTCTTTGATGGTGGAGGGGACCGATCGCAACAGAAATTGGTTTGAAATATCGTTTGCACTCGTCCTCACTGTAGCACGAGCGCCAGTGCTGCGGAACCTTCTGAATTAATGGCTTGTTTAATGTCAACGGAACTGTGTCGGTATCCGTCAATAACTTCAAATTTTCAATCTCCTTTTCGAGTTTGATCTGTATGTTACGTAATGGCTTGTTTGATGGCAATGGACCTGTATCGGCTTCCTCCGATGATGTCATCCGTCTTTCACTCTGTTCCATGTTGTGCAAGTGACAAGTCTGCTCGTTCGCCATAACCACAGCCTTGCAAGACAAAAAGATATATTACATGAAAGATTTTTCGGTAACCTTATTATGTTTCTTTATTAAAATTGGAATATTAAATTTACTACTTTACAATGATAACACGTTTGCCCTATGGGTTCCCTCTGGTTATTTCTCATTATGGAGAAGTCTGATGTAGCACAAACAATTTCCACAATTCTTGGTGGATCAAATTATCTACTCTGGATTCAAGGAATGCGTAATTTCTTTAAGGGATGAAAATTATGGCGATATAGGTTAGGTGATATTATACCTCCAAAGGAAGTTACCGGAGAGGCAGATGAGCAATCTGCGGAACACTTGGAGGACTAGGATAGCAAAAATCATTAGATTATTACTTGGTTACGATAACTCCTCTATTCCTTCCATCCACCTCCAGCTTGGACGGTATGGTACAGCTAAGGAGGTATGGGATTTGCTTCCAACAAGGACTTCTCATTTATCTAGTTAGTATCAATTGTGGGAAGAATTACATAATTTGAAATATGAACATGATGAGTCGATCACTAGTTTTTATGCTAAGATGGAAGCATGCTGGGGGTGTTAGAATATTGGTGTTCATACTATATTAGTATGTTCACACTTTAATTGATTATATATAATTAAGTTAATTGATTTTTGTACCTAAGAATATTATGTTATTCATACTTAATTTATTTGTGATACTACGGATCTTGTTTGGTATAGTAGTTTGGGTGTGGTGGTTAACAATTTTGGCAAAATTATTAAGGTTAAATATTTGATAAATTTATTTATCTCAAAATTACTACAAATTAAGTGTTTGGTAAAAATTTTGATTTAGCAATTTAGAATTAATGGACAATAGTTAGAATCCAAACTATTAGTGGATTAAAAAAGCTTTTCATATCAAATTACTAGTGGATTAGGATTTTCTAATCTTATTGACAATTTATCTATTTTAATTTTCTAATGTTTTTACTATGATTTTTAATTTATACTTTATCTAATTAGTTTCAATTTCATTTTTTCTCTTTGATAACAGTAAATGATTGGTATGTTTTTATTTGTTTAAATTAATTGATAATAAAAAATTACATTAGTTTAATAAATAAAATTTACTAATTACATAAAAGAATTTAAAAAAATTTTCTTTATTTAAAAATAACATAATTTTTTTGTTAAAAATAAAAATAATTGTGTGATTACAATTCTATAATTTATTTTATTTATTTATTATTATTATTATTATTTATAAAATTAATAATTCTAATAATAAAAAATATAAAAAGAAAAAAAAATACACTCTATTCTTTTTAAAGATTTCTTTATTCATCATTTAGCATTAAACAACAACTATTAACTATTGTATAACTAAATAGTTATATTAATCAAGATCCATTATCTACTATCTACTATTCACTTTGTATTATTTATCACTTACTATTTACTAACTACCACCCACCACCCACTACCCACTATCTACTGTCCATTGCCTATTACTCGCTATTTACTAAAATTTTAACAATTGTACCTAATAAACTCTAAACCCTTAGTATTTAGAAGTCACATTAGACTCCTATTAATCGAAGATAAAGTCGAGTTAGACCCCATAAAACCTATTTATTCATTTACATGATTTAAACTCAAAACTTTACTTAAGAGGATCCAAGTTCATTTCATTCAGACTAATAAATCATTGGTATATACCTAATTTATTTGCTACTCGTAAGTGCTCTTGGAAATTTTGGATGAAATGCTGCTAGTGGTGGAATGTTTCCTGTGCATGCCCAGAGTCTATTAATGATTTATGTTCGCACTTCCTGTTGGATTTATTTTTGCAAAATAAGGAGTTGGGGTCCCTTATTTATTGTATAGTGCTGTGGGCTATTTGGTTGGAAAGGAACAATATTTTGTTTGGAGGGGATCAGTGGAATGAAGAAAGATTGTTTGAGTTTATGCAGAGATAAAGTCTTTTATCTGGATCAAAGGAACTAAGGAGGACTTAGCTTTTACTTTAAGTGATTGGATTCAATTTCTTCATCTATGTTGTGGGAGAAATTGTCGTTGAAACTTGCAGGAAATATATGGGAATGTAAAGCTTGATGAAAAGCGTTAAGGTATCCCTCATACCTAAATAATAAAAAGTATTTATTTACTAATAAAATTGAGGAAAAATAAACAGAAGCAATCAATCGATTAAGAATGAACTCAAATATACAACTACCTCTGTCCTCAAAATATATGAGTCTTTTTCAGTTGATGGTGTTGTAGCCAAATGCAGAGGGAGTGAGAGAGTGTGCGGAGTGGAGAAATATATGCAACGCACCAGTCTTTCTTAGAGGCTGCTAAGTATCAGAGAATAAGTCGATCTAAAGAGGTATATATAAGCAGAACCCATTGTTAAGCCCCTTAAACTTCTCCTGTATTTTTGTGTAGTCCCCTAAAATAACTTTTAAGCAGATACCTCCTAAATCGCCCGATAGTAAATTAGCCCCTTGTATATAACGGCTACCATTTATCTCCGTTAGTATAGCGGACGAATCATGCAGGGTGCCGTTAGTTTCCCTTGACATCACTCTGAAAAAAAGATTAATGTCAATTTTTTTTAAACTTATTACAATTTTTTAGAGGAGATTCAAAACTCAATTTTGAAATGAGGGATATATCTTATAATTAGATGTATAATCATCAAGTCATGAGGCTGAGGCTGAGACTGAGGTGAAAAAAAAGTTTAATGTCAATTAAGTCTATGAACTATTTAAATTTCAATTGGAATTACTCCTAAACTTTACTAAAAATAAATGAAAACATTAGAGATTCAAGGTATTTTCCACTCTAAGAGCCCTTGCATTCTTTCTTTTGTACTACTAGTTAGAATTATCTGTGATTCAAAACGTGGGCCATGTTTGTGGTCGAACTTAAAAGTCTTAAAGTTGTCCTTTTACTGAAGGTAGTCACGGGCTTATGAGCTGTTGTCCGTACACTGGTCTTTTGTTTGAATGAACTTTTCAGCTTTTTACAACCCAAATTACTGCAGAGCACTATTGGCGCTGACATGCCATTGACTCTTCTAGCTGTTGGATCAACAGCCTTTTCAATAGCGGCGGTTATATTTCTAGCAGTTGGCTATTTGCTTCAAACAAAAGACCATTACTGCAGAGCACTATTAGCGCTCACATGCCATTGACTCTTCTAGCTGTTGGATCAACAGCCTTTTCAATAGCAACAGTTATATTTCTAGCAGTTAGCTATTTGCTTCAAACAAAAGACAAATGTATGGATAACTGCTCAGAAGCCCGTGGCTACCTTCAGCAAAAGGACAACTTTAAGACTTTTAAGTTCGACCACAAACGTGGCCTCGTTGTGAATCACAGATAATTCTAACTAGTACCACAAGAGAAGGAATGCAAGGGCCTTTTTTTTTTTTTTTTTTTGTTTTTTATGATATGTGTAAAATAAAATGTTAAACGTGTTAAAATTATTACAATTCTTGATTTATGCACTAGCCAA